AAACGTTGTTTTATTATCTGATTGGAATTTGGGTGAACGAGTTGAAAGTGTCCGTAATGTAGATAAAATGAAAATTTCTAAATTAAACTTTTTATTGATTGTATGATTTACAGAACATGTATTAGTTTTTACTCTGCTATTTCATAAAACTAAAGATTTATGTTGAATTTTCATTTATTATTTACTTACCCAGAGGGCCCTCGTCAACTTCATTCTTACTTAGTGGTAGTTGAAAATTAGATGACGAAAGCAAGTTTCGATAGCTTTGCAAGGTGCAAGCCTTCACTTCTATGAATTCTGTAAATTGCGTCTTTTCTTGACGCCAACCTTGGCTTGCTCTGCTACAGAAGCTGATGAGACAGGTTTAAATACGCTGTGCCGAATGGGACGTTCCTCGAAGAACAGCGTAGGATGGTACGTATGGGAAAGCGTGCACCAGTACTAAACATGTCCAGCCTCCTGGCAAACAACTGACACACATATAAAACATTCTGAGAAAAGAAATTTCTTATTTTCGATAGAGAAGAATACAAAATATATAACTAACACGCTGCGTTTGTGTGTGTATGCGTGGGGGGCGGGGGGGCGTCCGGGCGCACTCCAGTTGTGATAGCTACTAGTCTGGAACCGGGAATAATCTAAGCCTATTTAAACTTTTCGAACTTTTCTTATCATTAACCTGAATATATTTACATGTAATTGCTATTATCGAAACTTGTTTTAGCATTATCTGACGGTAGCTTTGATACGTTGCTTATTTTTAAAATCACTTTCCTTGCATCTTTTTCTTATGTTATCTTTATGTTTCATGGAACCGTTAAAGTTGATAAAATATAATAGATAGAGATATTATGACAAAAAGTTAGAATTAAAATGTTTTGCAGTCTCAACCAAGAATGTTGAACAGTAAGTGAGATTTAGACAAATATAATTAGAATCTATTTTGTGAAATTGGCTACAAAGAGCAACCCTTTATTTTTGATGTCTCACCTCTTTCTGATTATGCAAAGTTGCTCACAACAGAATAATACATTTTATTCTTTATGTGTTTGAATCAGATCAACTTGCCTGATTTTCGAAAATTTTTATCAAGATCGTTGTGTGACGTTACTTTCACAAATATTTATTTTTCTCATTTGTTGCCTCGATTTAATTATACGTCCTTCATCCTACGTTTTGATTACTTTTCAGTCTGACTTCAAACTTGTAAGTCAATCACTAAGCAAACTTAAAATCGCATCTTAATCTGCGTTCAATGATGGATTATCACTAGTTGTCAGCACAAATGATTTCTCTTGTTTTACAAAGAGTACTGACTAGAGGAGTTTGATGAAGCATTAGAGTAGAATAATACTAAACCGAATATCGAATTAATTGTAAAAAATATACATATTCATAACAATTTAAATAGGACGACTTTGACCGAAATTTCTACTGTACTAGTTATTTTTTGTCTTTATTTAAAATCTAAATAATTTTGAAAATTATGATTTGACAGACACAATGACGTAACTGAAGGTAGCTGATTCATACATCCAGTAAATCGTTGGAAATGAAGTTTATAGCTTTTCATATTTGCTTTTGAGATTAATATAAAAAATTAGTATCAAAATCTGGCTTTAGAAATTTTGACAGTCATAGATATACAGGTGCGTGTGTATGTTGTTAGGAATTACTAATGCAGTTTTCTCCCGTGGATGCTGTGGTTGCTTGATCCTCTTCGGGAATAAGAAGATTGACTAGCTGGTTCCTAATTCTTCTGAATGGCGATAGTAAAGTTAATTCAAATAATAATAATAGTAATCGGTGTTAAAAATAAATAATAAACAAATAATATTGTGTTGTTAATCCTTACTCTAAAATCTGAATTGTAAATGACTTAAATAAACTTGATAATAATTACAATTAACCTACTTACTCTAGTTCACACCATATCAGTTGTTCATGAATGTTAATTATATAAATATCATGTAAACCACTACTATGTTTGTGGTTCCCTAGCCGGCCTGATGAACTTTGGTATTCGGCTAAAGTCCTTGTCGGCACTGGATGTGGTAGATGTAGAGTGGTTGGCATATTACAACATATTCTTCACTTTCACTAATAAATTTTTAGGATTAAAGAGCTGTTTGATATTTTGTGTGGGCGCTTTTTGGACGATATATATGTTTCATTTGATAGATTGTTTAGGCAGAGTATTCATGATGAAATTTAGTTGAATGGACGTCAACTGCCTGTTGTAGAAATACAAGTATAGAGGATGACGTTTCGAAAGTATTGTGTTTCTTCAATAGGCAGTTGACGTCCATTCAACTAAATTTAATATATGTTTTGGTCGTGGTTACTGTGCTTACGAATGTATTTAATATCTACATTCCTGTTGAATGAAACTTTAAAAAAATCATAATTCTAGTCAAAAATAATGATATATTCCTGTCAGACTTTTTACTATTTATTTCACGAGTCGCTTTAGACAAAATTTATAAAAATATTTCACATTGGAAATGGTATTCACTCTTTCCAACATAAAATCCTCGCTAGGTTATTTGTTAAGAATATAAGAAACAGAGTAGTAATTGTGCAACGTCGTGAGTTCTCCAACCAACCGTCGAATGGTTTTCAGTTTAATAGTAAAATTCAACTTGGCATCAGTTTAACAGAACGAACTAAAAACAAATAAGATAGATGCTTTTGGACACAATGTGACCCAACTCACTATCAGTGGATATACTTAGTTACGCTGGTTTATTAGGTACACAATTTGTTTACAAGATTTTTCCATATCACCTAAACCACTAATTACAAACGATTCCTCAAGGACGCTTCGAAAATTACACAAGTGTTTCGGTTTCATTCACAACTTAATTACAATGATGCATTATTGTAGTCAATAACTATTTAACAATTGTTAACTTATTTGATTTATATACTTGCTTTATAATACATATATATATTATTACAATACATATTTTTAAGACGATGCGATATCATATGTTTGTAGCTATATATAGTAGTGCCTGATAATTACTTTTAGTTTTTGAAATTTGTAGTAATCTATAACTTACAGCACAAACTTGCCGACATGCGTTTTCTTGGTTGTATCATTTAAACACTTTCAGAGTGTATGTTAAGCGATTTCAACTTAATATTATTACCGACTGAGTACTAAGGCAGTAAAAAGTTGACTGTGCACTTTTACATTTGCTGCTGAGGAAAATTAAAAACGTTTGGCTAAGCCAGTAATCAAGAGTGTAAGATATGTAACATAAGAGCAATAGGCGTGGCCATATTAGACAGTTATAAGATAAATCAAGTTTTCAACTTTATTCACGTGTAAATAAATAGAAACTACAACAACTATGTTTCCTAATTGAGGCCTAGGAATATTGGTCTGTTTCTTTTTGTGAAAAGTGGTTAGCATAAGGAAAACTTTAACTGACCAGTGAAGAGTGATTTGACTTTGACCGATTATTTAAACAGAATCATGCAAAACATTAGATCCCATTAGACTATATTTTATATATTTACAATAGATATATCTTAAGATAATTTCTGAATCTTCAATTTGCTGTAATAATACTTTTCGTCTTCAAAACAGGTTAAAATGTACAATACTAAGAATGTTGTTTGTTATGTTAGCTACTTTATACTTCACACTAATGAGTTCAAAGAAATCACTAGAACTCTGTTCCCTACATTCTTTTAATGAGAAATACTTAAAGTTTTAATATAGAGATCATTTAAGATTTTCATTTAAAAGTTATGATATACTCCCCAGTGTGGTGGCATTATCTAAACTCGGAGATTATTTTGAATTATAGGACTTGTTATTCTTCAGACGTCTCCTTTTAAAATAATAACAACAAAAACAACGTTTGTATTTCCATTTCTAAAACAGGTAAGGTACTTAATTAGAGATTCTTTAACAGAGGACTACATTGTATAGTTTGTATATTAAAGTACAGATAAAGACTAGAAGGAATGTTTCAGTCAGACTTTCTCTGCTCATATCAGATGTTTTGCGTAACGTGATAAGAAACTGAATTATTCATGAAATTTTCGCGCATGACATGCAGAAGATACACCCCCTTTGCAGGTTAATGAAATAACTCTGGACTTGTTCCAAGTAAATACCACAAAAGGTATATTTTTTCTTATGTTATACATACATGTTATACAGTTGGTTATATGTTTATG